AGAGCAATTATTCAAACTATTTGCATATAAAGACCTAAAGGGAAGCATGTTCATGTGAGAGGAAAAATGCCATTGGCTTATGTTTCTCTCTAATCATATCATCTTTTTTTTTTCCCCACCGCCAACATTTTGCCACGAAATAGATGAGTGGCAGATGAAAAGGAATGAAGAAGGCTCTTTCTTTATTCCAAAAGGAATAAAAAATTGATGTGAACCCATTGGCTACAATGAGGCTTGTTATTTATAGAACAATTTTTTGATGAGAGCAGAGCTTCTGGTTCCTTTTGTTAAACTTCATAAAAAATGAACCATCCCTAATTCGCACTTAGGGCAATTTCTTTCAAATTAGACAGGTAGTTAGTCACATAGTTTCCTCACAATTGCTGCATTTAGAGCCCACTCCAAAGCCTACTGTAGCCAATATAAAGGGAACTTCTATGCAACTCTTCCCTGCCGATCTGTTTTACAGACAAAGGTCAGCTCAGCAGCCAAAAAGGGGGTTTACATTGGCAGAGTCCTACAGCGATGCTGCGCTCACGGGAGCTTTGTTTGGACTCATCATCTATTCATCATTTCAGGATCGTGTCCACCCTCCATTTTTAGGTCCCTAACTATGCCACTTCATTTCCAAAGCTGGCTTGGACCATTCTCAAACCTCTGCAAATAATCCCCATGTTACGTCAGATCACAACTTCCTGACCTCTCTCCTCCTCAGCTTTTCACTTCATTTTTCTTTTAACTGAAAGTCCCGTTTCAGACCGCAGCGGGAAGCCGAGGGCTCATACGCTCCGTAGCTTTCATATGAGGCTGCTTGGGAAAAGGCAGAGTGAAAACAGCACAAGAAAATGAGTGGGCTCCTCAAGTATTGGCATAAGAAGTAAATATTAATACTAATATTTTGCACTTATGCAGCATCTTCCATCTGGAGAGCTCAGGCTGTTTCATAAATATTAACAATCCAACTCCATCAAGGCTAGAGGGTTGTTTAAAAACAAAAAATGGGTTTCCAAGGATCAAACCCATGAAAGTGGGTGGATTACCCCCCTCCCAAAAAAAATGATCTCTCTCTGACCTTCTGCTCCTGCCTAGATCATATCAGTAACTAGACCGCATAGTCTAAACAAAAGGTTCTCCATCTAAAAGTCTCTTCTGAGTTTATACAACTTCATTTTATAGAGGACTAGTGGTTCCCCAGAATGTTATTTCTGTGTATGCTGAGGAAGACGTGTATAGGAAACTCTTATCAGGAGCAACCCTGCTTGTTTCTTCAGGAAGTGCTGGCTTTTCCTGTAAGCAGGCGTTCACAACTCTGGTATTGCTGGGTATTGAAACCCGCATGCATTAACCAAGTCACTGCCTGCATCTAGCTTGGGTGCTCTAGAAGATATCTTAATGGAAGCATCCCTAATAATTAAATGCATTTGCATAGGATCCATATGCCTCTTGATGATGATAAACTTATTGCAGAACTTCTCTGTGCACAGCAGGCAATGCCAATAAAAGGAAGAACACAGCACAGTGGGAACTGGTTAACTGATACGCAGTAAATGTTGTGTTCAAGTATTTTCCTAGACTCAAGTTTTATGGGTACAGTGTTTCATAGTAGTTTCATAGCAGCTAGGGTCAGGAGGGACCTGAACAAGTCATCTAGCCTGACGCCCTGCCACAGGCAAGAATAAATATGTGTTGTGCCATATATTTTGATATACCAAAATATTGGCTTTATATTCATAGACTCATAGACAATGAAGGTTGGGAGGGAGCTCAGGAGGTCACATCTAGTCCAACCCCCTGCTCAGAGCAGGACCAGCCTCAACTACAGCATCCCAGCCAGGGCTTTGTCAAGCTGGGCCTTAAACACCTCCAAGGATGGAGGTTGTTTGTAGATATTGTAGATGTTTCCTTGTAAACTAGTTCTTTCTAAATATTTCTTTCTCATTAATGAAAATTAATTGTATGCATGTGTTTGATGTATTTTACAGGAAAATAATCACTCTACTTTGCAAATTAGCAGTCTGATTTTCCTTCTCCACAATGAAGGAAAAACAGTGTACAATAATGAGTTCATGGGACCACTTGGCAGCTATAGTGGAAACAGGAAACTAGTAGGGAGAGGAATGCATTTTAAAAAGTCATAAATCATAAATTCAAGCAGGAAGTCAGTATTCAATCTTGATTAAAAAAACATTCTGGAGCGAGTGTCATTTGTGGAACTTTTAAGGTGACAAATCTCATAAAAGTCTAATAGCAATCATTTCTTTGCCACAAAAGCCATAGAACTAATTTTGCATGCAAATAGCACAGGTCTTTAATTAATAGCAGAATGTCCCAGCTAACAAGTAGACAATGGGAGCGTCTCTTTAGTTGCATTGTTCCCCACGCTCTATGGTTTGGGTTTAATTTGAAGAACTCCCCCTACAAGCTGGACTATGACAAACTTGATTCTCAAAATGAACTATTAAAGTCGGTTAAATATAAAAAAGATTCATTGGCTAAAAATGACAGCAGGGATGTGGCCTGATCAAAAATAACAGGAGTTGTTTAAAGCAGAAACGCTGTCCTCAGCTGCTTGTTACTAGTATCTTCAAATCATCCTAAATCACTGCAGTAACCCCAATCACTAGGAAAAGTTTAAAAATCATGGACTTAATATTAAGTCAATGCATTTCCAATGCATAAACCAAGAGTCCATGTGGTAAAACTCTGTGGGGTTTATACATATATATATATATATATATATATATAGGTTAACTGATGAGATACAGGGCTGTGCGAAACGGCTCCGTTCTGTCTCGCCTTGAGTTTCGACGGTTCGATAAAACAGTGTTTCATCTCGAATTTCATTTTGCGTGGAAACAGCTGTTTTATTCCATTCCATTGAAACAGAAAGGTGGTTTTGACGCTGTTTTGAGTTTCACTGGGGATGGGAAGCCAGCCCAGCTGCGCTGACTTCCCATCCATAGTGCAACATTGTACCGGGGACCGGAAAGCAGCCCAGCTGAGCAGCCTTCCACCCCTGGTGTGGTGTAGCGCAGGGAACAGGAAAGCAGCCCAGCTGGGCTGCCTTGCCGCCCCCTGCCAGATCTTGCACTGGGATGGGAAGTCAGCCCACCTGGACTGACTTCCCACCCCCAGCCTATGGTCGAAACATTTTGACTTTCGAAATGTTTTGACCAGTCTCGTTTTGTTTTGAGGCTATTTCAACAGCCTTGGTTTCATTCCGATTTTGCTGTTTCAACCTCGAAATTGGTCACAACAATGTTGGAACGAAACGGCCGGTGAAATTTCACACAGCCCTAATGAGATGTATATGGTATTTTAAGTTAAAACCCAACTGATGAGTTTGACCTGGAATATACTGACTGTGGTGGACAAAACTTAAGCAAATAAGGACAGGGCTGTAGGTCAAAATCAATGACCCTGAAAGGAGACGTGTACATAGCAGAGCTACTGATCTGAGAGTGGGAGATGCTGACCTCTGTTTCCTGGGAAAAGTAGACTGACCTGCCCGGGACCAAAGGCCCAGTTCTTCAAATAAGTGCATTTAGGAATCAAATTATTGCTTGGGAGAACAAAAGAAGAAAATAAAAGTGGGAATGAAACAATGGTAGGTAATAATGGGACTCTATAGAGCCACTACATGGAGCATCCAAGGTCATTCCTGCAACTCTGAGCACTTCTTTCCAAGTCCCAGGCCTGCCGCTGAGAGAATAACCCCTGTACCTGGGCACACCGGGGACCAGCCATTTGGCTGAGTAGTCAGCTCAGTGCATGTGAGGCCCAGGATCAGACTTTATCTCAGGAGACATTCAAGGCAGCAATGTGGGAGGGAGGCACAGCTTCTTAGGAGCTCTCCTGATGCAACTTCTCTGCCTACTTGCTGATATCTGTTGTACCCTCGAGGAAGCAAGTGGGGAGGATTTATTTGGTTGGTGGCAGAGTTCAGAAAGAAAGCCCACTTCCAGCTCAATAGTTTGAATGCAAGGAAAAAGGGCATGGAATCAGGAGTGGGCAGAAGCTGTGTTCCCCCCACATTATTTCTAGTGCTATGTCTCACCAAAATGAGGATCAGCTTCTTCCTCAGCCATCACCTGGTCAATCCTTACTTTTTTTAATCCAATACCAACAAAGCATCAACTGAAAGTCTTGCGGACCCATCTGCTAGTTGCCGGACCAAGAAAACCATTATGCATGGAGCAGTAAGCAGCTCTCGGATGTTAACGTCCTTTCAGTCCCCGTCTTCCCAAGACGGCTTGTCAGAGGGTAAAGATTGATATTTCACTACCTTCACGCTTGCCAGTCCCACCTGACTGTCCAACCTAGAAATAAGGATGACTAGTTTTAACTTGATTTCATTCATCAGGAGGATGCCATTCAGCTGAGACCTTGGGGTGACGCTCCGGTCCTAAGAAAACGACAACAGCCCAGTTATATCACCCTGAATATAGAGGTTGAAAATCGAATGGGCTGATGAAACCTGGATGTTTAAATCAACTCCCTCTGTCTCCCCTTTTTCTCTCTATTGTTCCTGCCAATAAATGTTCCAGCCCTCGGCCCAGCGTGATTCAAGCTGTGGATTTCCTCACTTTCTTACCACTTCCTTTCCTGTTTATACAGCAGTTCAATTTGTTTCTTCTCCCTTGTTAACTGCAGGGGAGAAAATACAAAGTTGACGAGAGTTTGCTGGAACTGCATGTTCTCTATTGAGTGGATAAAGAGGGAATAAACCCCAGGGAGTTTTCCCTTCCCTTCATTTTACTTGCATGAGTAAATGCTTCTCAGCAGGAGCTTGGGTAACAGGAGCAGGCCCCTGGTCGGACGTGCTTTTCTCCTTACAAAACAAATTGCAGACTGCGGCATTGTGTGCATGTGTGATAAGTGTGGAATGTGTCACCGCATCGTGTTTATACAGTGCCTGTCTGATTAGTGAACTAAAATCTCCTCTTGAAGTCCTTTGCCGTGAAGTCATCAGCCAGGAGCAATGGTGTTTGTCTCAGATGTCCCCTGCTCGCTGCAATCGCAGGTAGGACATTTTTCATGTAACTTTGTTCCTTTCTTGTCCTGTGCTCCATAAAGGCCTCTGCATCTCAGTACAGATGCAGCCCCATGTGTCTCTGCAAACTCCTGATTTGCAAGAGGATGCCTTCTGCAATGGAAACTTAGGCTGCAATGCCTTTTTTCCCCCCCCTCTGCCAATGCACAGTGCTGATGTTTTCTCTCAAACATGGGGTTTTTGTGTCTCAGACCAAGCAAAATGATCTTGCTTCTATGAAGGAGGGTGTTTTAGACTTGCTCATGAGCACTGGGAACACATCCATGTTTATCTGAGCCAGCCCCATTCAGGAATGTGGAGCCGTTAACAGGGAGAAAGGCAAAGGAGGAGAAGCAGGATGGAAAGATCAAACCTAGGGGAGGGGTTGAAAAGAGAGGGATTGAAAGGGCTCCAAGCAAGAATTAAAGAGGAATGAACAGAGGTGGTGGTGCAGGGGGAGCAGATAGGGGAAATGGCTAGAATATGAAGGGAGCAAATGAAAGAAGGGAAGAGGCAGAGGATAAGAGCAAAGAGAGAGAGTTATTTCCAGGAAGCAGAAAGCTAAGTCCTGCAGGCCTGATTCAGGGCGAGGGTCTAGAGACACAGGGGTGAGTACAGATAGTCTAGAGACCCCGTGTTCTTGGTGATGACAGAATAAGGAGCAATGGGATCAAGTTGCAATAAGGGAAGTTGAGGTTAGATATTAGGAAAAGCGCTCTCACTAGGAGGGTGGTGAAGCGCTGGAACAGGCTCCCCAGAGAGGTGCTAGAGGCTCCATCCTTGGAGGTATTTAAGACCCAGGTAGACAAAGCCTTGTCTGGGATGATGTAGTTGGGGCTGGTCCTGCTTGGAGCTAGATGTGACCTCCTGAGGTCCCTTCCACCCTCATTGTCTATGATTATATGACTCTGAGTTGCCCCCCATCCAAGGTTACTAACAGGCATTACATTTAGATTAAGCTAACTCAGGCTGGGTTGATCTTAGCGCCCATCTGTGCAGGTGAGTTAAATCAGGCAAAAAATGGGGGTCTGATCTATGTTAGTTCACCTCCGCAGGTGAACTAGATCAGGAACAAGTTAACCCAATCTATTAAATGCCTGTACATGTTTGGAGCACAACACCGAGGCTGAGGCTATGCTCTTCCTACCCACCTGGACCAGGCTATTTGTAGCCCCCAAAACCCTCACCCTGGGATGGGCAACAACCCCCACAACCCCTTGCAGATCCATGAACCCTGCCCCAGACCCACCAGCCCCCCTTACCTACACAGTCAACCTCCCCACAGACGTACTAGCTCCCCCTCAATCCTGCCTGTCCTTGCCCAAACCTTTAGATACTTACTCCATTTTCCCCATGTGGCTCCTTGGACCAGCTCCTGGACGGTAAACGCCACTTCCCATCTATGTTCACATGGCTTAGATTAGGCCATGTGGACACAGACCAGGTGCAGCAAACATTGGTATGCATCCCTAGACATCATCTGGCATCACCTCTTTTGCTAGAGGAGGCTTAGTGGGGCTGTAGTTTTGGTAGCGATGAGCCTACCAGCATTGGTGAAGTGGGAAAGCAAGCTTGTGCAAGGAGCCAGAAATGAGCCTACAGGGCTGGTTGCTGCTTGGACTCTGCTCTCCCTGACCAGTATGAGCATTTGTATGAGGCTTGTAGCTGCTCCATGTTCAGTACCCAGTTTCTGTGTGTGTTTCTGTCCAGCTGCCTACATTGCTGGCTTTGTACTGTAATATCCAAGCACTTGGCTATTCTGCATATCTTCTCCACTTGCCTTCTTTGTGTATGGAAACCTTGGCATGGAGCAGGTGATATGGCTGTGGATCTGGTTGTGTCCCATACGATGCTTTTGTATCCCCAAAGCCCTTTCCAGATCTTATTCAAATGTAGGGTATCCTTCAAGACCCAGGAAGTAAAAACAGAAATGCAATGCTGGTTGTTTCCCCCTTCCCTTTCCCCAAGGAGAAGATCCCAGCCTCTGCTTTGTATTCAGGCATTCCCCATATGCCAGGCAGCACAAAATCTGAGCTGGGCTCCATGAGCCCAGTGAGAAAGGAAGAGGGGTAGAGAGGGAACTGGAAACTCATGAATATGACAGTAGGAAACACAAAGGAGGAAAGAAAAGGGGAGGGAAGCAAGGTGTTAGCGTGCTCTTTTAAATCTCAAGGACTAATCAATCTTGGCCTCTTTTCCAGTGAGCTCCACTATCACCCTGCTTTGGCTGTGCTGTCCTTGCAAACCCCTCCATGAATCTCCAAGGCATCCAACTTTGACCCAGTTCTGCTTGACATTCAAAGATTTCTCATGCTAAATATTAATTTTATCTCCTTCACCTCCAGAGGATTTCCTTTTGCTTTTTGGTTTGAAGGTTTTGCTGATGTTTGGGACAGAGCCGAGTCTCACCCTCCAAGCCCCAGAGCTAACTAATGCAAATTGCAGCCTGGGAGGCGAGACACCTGCTTCTAATTGAGGGCTGCAAAAATATTCTTTTTAGGGACTTTAAAGAAATAAAGTGGGGGAGGGTTTGGTTTTTGTATTTAATAGATTCCCTGGGAAGATGACTTCTTACAGTATCTGATATTTGACCCAGCTCTGTAGTCTCAAAGGCTACTAACCCCTGGAAACACCATATTAATTAACTAAATCAAATTAATTAATTCATTTGCTACTGACCAGCTTGTGTGCTGAACTGGATAGTTTTTATCTTAACTTGAGGGAAAATCATTTCTTTTAATAACAGTGTGGATGAAAATTTGCTAATGTTCAAAAATAATAGTTTTCTATCTTGATCTCAAGCTAGTCAGATGATTATCCTTACCACTATCACTACTAATAACAATGTCTACTCTGGTAGCACCTGGAGATTTCAAACCGAGACCAAGAGCCTATTAATTAAGGTGATGAGTGCAATGCAAGAACATGTATAAAATGGATTATTTTTCTACCTACACCTAGTCTGTCTATTCAGGTAATAAAAAGACAACCCTTTCCCAAAGGAGCAGTCACAGTTTTTGCATATGATCAGGCAATAATGGGTTGTTGATACAGCTGGCAATATTTTCCCAGCCTGTAGGATACTAAAGGTCCTGAAATGTTTTTTGGAGTCTGCAGTGTCATCATATTACGGCATTTCATGGTACCATGTCATTGCATGGCATCCCATCTCATAACAAGGATGAGGGAGCCACATATGATATGTGCATTTGTCCTTCGGGCTTGATATTGAACCAGTCCTTCAAAGGCATCATTCTTCCGTTATATTATTATTCACTTACATTATTCTTCACTTGTATTAATATTTACTTTTAGTCCAGGTCCACCATTGGTCCATAACTCCAGACATAATGTGAGCCCTACGGTTTAAGACATAACTTTCCTCCCAGGTTGAAATGCAGTGAGGCATTTTGCTATGAGTTCCAAGTCTTAAATGCCTTGGCTGCAATCCTGGCCCTATTGATTCAATGGGATTTTCATAACTCACTAGATTGGAGCCAGGATTTGTACCAGGTGCTGCACATCTAAAGAAGCAGCAGGTCCTGGGTCTCAATAAAATGTTTTCCATTCCTAGCTTTGATGTAATGGATGGAGCCTGATTCAGGGCAGATGGGGCAGGTGCATGATGGGTTCTCATTTCTGTATGAGCCTGAGAAAGGAAGCACTGCTTTCCATCTATCACACACAGAGCTGTCTACACATCACTAGGTTTTAGTACTTCGTTTTGGAAGTACTAAAACACAGCACATTAAGCACCCATACTGTGCCATATGGGCAGTGCATGTGAAAATTTCCCCACTACGTCACCATAACAGTACGCTATAAGTGGAGATTGTGCCACTACAGCGATGTAGCTAGGCAATCATGTGTAAACCTGTCTGATCACTACGTGTCCTTAGCATGACATACAGTGATGTAGCATGCCGCTACGTTGATGCAGGGAGACATGCAGGTACGCCCATGTACAGGACAGGGCAGAATGGGGCTGGGACTTGGTCTTGTTTTACCCGTGTGATGATTTGTCCTCTTGTCCATGTGACCCATTTGGCTATCCTGTTCTTAACATCCACTGGTCAGATTGCATAGGAAGCTACTCAGCCGCTCAAAGGACTTTTGGGAAGGCAGCAGCCGGCTGCTCAGCATTGCCTTCCCATAAGCCAGTGCCCGTGACTCCTGGTTTTGCCTCTCATCTGATACTCACCCTGGACACCCTGAACCAGTGTTTCCACTTCTGGATATGTCTTTTGCCTGGCTCTGAGCCCTGACATGTTGCCTCTAAAATGCCAGCTAGTGCAGCTGAACCAGCACCCTGGGAAGTGCCGGGAAAAGTGCAACCCACCCACCTCCTCACTAGGGAAACCAGGAAGGAGATTCAGGTGCAATACATTTAAAGAAAGAACCAAGACCCAGATCCTCAAAAGTATTTAAGCATCTAACTCCCACTGAGATCCTGAATCCCTTATTGTGGGAACATGGGATGGGGCTGGAAAGCACCTCCTAGGTGGCAGAGCCGGGCCCCCTGCTCTCACAGGCAGTCCTAAAAAATGGTCACTCCACCTTCTCTCACACCCCATACCAAATCACCTCCCGGGAACGTAACAAAACCCACCTTATAATGTGTACAAAGCAGAGGGGAGAATGGTGCTGCCACTGCTCTGCTGCTGCAATGGGACAGAAATGATAAGGTTAATATTGGCTCGTCACTATTGCACCACTGATTTCAATGGGAGTTAGGTTTCAAAGTCCCTTGGAGAATATGATCCTAAGATTTTTATCTTTATGGATCGAACCTCATTCGAGATGGGAAAGGTTCTGGGGAGCTACAGGACAGTGAACCGGAAACTGCTCGAACTTTCAGAAATGGGTCACAGAGGATATAACATTAATTACAAGCACATATGTCTAAGTTCTGTCTCAGGAACAACCTCTGAGCTGTTAACTCGAGTGAAATGATATGTTACTGGGAAAGTGAAGGCAATTACCAGAGTGGG